ATTTTTTTGCATATAGAGATCTTGAAAACAAGTTGCACCTCAGAAACCTTTTTAGAAATTGTTAGTCTGGAGTGTCCGTGAGTGTCTGTGTGTTATTATGAGTGAAAATAAACAATTAGCATAAGATGGACATGTTTTTTATTGATTTTCTGTCCTCTTGGATTCAGACTGAGTGCTAAAACTCTGATACACAGCAAGAAAGCCTTTATTTTTAAATACAAATCGAATTGCATATTTAATATCAGATATTTTTAATACTCAAAATCAATGTAAACTGATAATATAATCCATTAAAATTATATTTTCTAAGTTGCACTGACTCCACACACCCCGTCTCGTCTCCAGGCTTTAATTTTATTGTTCTGTTTTAAAACATTCAGTTATGAAAAGGTACAAATCTGTACTTTTCACCTGGAAAAATGTATTAATGGTTCACAAATGAACCTTAAAACCACTGTTGTACCTTTGAGGGCACATTTGCATTGTTTGTACCCTGATGAACAAAAATGTATCTGGACAAAACCTTTATTTCTAACTTGTATGTAATGTTGATGATAAAATAGAGGTAAATCTGAAAAAAACAAGTTTTGTTTAAGGACTATTTTTCCTTACAACACGCTGCAGGTATCACTCCACCATATACGGCTTTTAAATATATACCTCTTTAGGCAAAATTCATGTCTTAATACTATGTAAAGCAACATCTCAGGCATCAGGCAGCAAATCCATCCAGGGAACTTTCTGAAGTGTTCAACTCTTCAGACGTCTGGTTCCTATCACCACCACTGTGAACAATTCTGACTGAGTAAGTGTTTCTAGAACAGAGTGTTTCACACCAAACCACTCTGAATGACTTTGTGTAAATGTGTGTTCTGTAGTATATAAGTATGCGTACATACATTGGCCCCAAAAACTATTTGGACAACTAAGCAACAAAATGACAGACTCATCATTTTTGAAGGCAAATTATTCCTTCAAAAGTTGGCGGATGTGTTTCAGATCGTTATTTCTTTGAGGACTTTGTTTGGTTTTCATCTAAAATGTCTCAGTATATTTCTGCATTCATGATCCCATTAATGAACACAAGCTCACTGACACTGCTGTAAGAAAAACAGCCCTAGACTTGGAGGTTTTTCCACCTCTGTGCTTTACTTCCTGCAGTCTGGATGGAATTCTTCTCCAGGCTTTCTCCAGAAAGGGTCTTCCCTCAGTTTGATGTTGTGCTAAAAGTGTTTTTTTCTCAAACATATATCATTTTGTTAAACATTTTATGAGGTAAACCTCAAGATCTTGAAAGATTAGCAGTGGTTAAAAGGTTAAAGTGTTCAAATACTTTTGGGGCCACTGCATGTCAACATGAAAGTAATATCTCAATTTTGAATTCCTCAGGCGAGCCACTCTGGCCTAATCTTCAAATTTCGAGAGGTTTGATTAACATGTTTTGCAAAACAGCCAAATCTTTCCACTGCTTTTCACTTACTGTGGTTTGATATTAAAATATTTTGGACCCACTTTATATTAAGGGTCTCTATAACTGTGTAGTTACACATGAATAACATATGCAACAACAATGTCTACCGATGATTTAGTCAGTGTTACAGATGGATTACAGAAGTACAGCCTGTGTAATTACACAAGTGTATCTTTTTAATACACTACAGATCAGAAGTATTTTCCAGCAGTAAAAGGAAGTATGTTTGGCATAATTTTACATTTATGTTTTACATAATAACTGTGGAATAACAGTGTTGTGGCAAGGTAACCATTGATTAATACCATTCTGTATTACCATTATGTAATTACACTGTACTTATATAACAACTACACGGGAAATTTCCTGTAGTGTAGTGTTAAAGTTACACTTTAAAATAAGTGGGCAGTTCATTAGTAGTTACAATATTTTTGCATATGTAGTTCATATATAACTACAGTTATTAGAGACACTTAATATAAAGTGGGACCAATATTTTTTATGAAAACAATAACATTTTGATTAGAGTTTACTTTGGTTTGGCTGCTAAAATGACACCAAAATTTCCTTTATTGACTCTTACGGACAAATGTTTTTCCTAGCGTATTTTATATTTGCATTACCATAATTTTTACATGATTTTAACAGTCCTAATTTCTCCTGTTTTTGCTAAATGTACTAAATTTTTCAAACATTCTATTAACCCTCAGAAAGCTTCTGTCGCCAAATCGTAAGAGCGTTCTGTTTAGGCCTACTTCTAACTCAATGTCAAGTCAAGACTGTAAACTTTTTCAAAGTATCATCTGTGGTGGAAAAATACAATATTCTGAATTTCACAACATACCAAACCACATGTTTACCTTTTACACTGCAAAAAATGGCATCTTGTCCAGTTTAATGATCTTAAATCTAGTCGATATGTCTAATATCTCCCGTTTTGAGATGGTTGTGCACTTATTATAAGATGATCTAGCTTATTTCTAGACACTATTTACTTGTTTAGGTAATTTATTATGTAAAATTATCTCACTATACTGGTAGATAATTTTGCTGGTTTCAAGCACATTTCTTAAAACATGCAAAATTATATGCCAATATAGTGAGATCATTTTACTAATAAAATTACTTAAAAACTGCCTAGAAGGGTTAAATTAGACTTGCTACAATCTAAATAGAACAAATATTAAATTTATTGACCATATTTAACAATTTTACTTGATAAGATGCTATTTTTTTGCAGTGTACAAACACACTTGCTCTGTGTTTTGGAGCAAACTCTATCATTCATGAAACTGATCTGTGATGTTTGTGGATGTGTTTGGTTTTTTAACATCTAACATGTTCAGTGATAAACATATTATGTAACCATGGGTCTAAATTTTCACCACGTTTTATGGTTTTTCACACGATGGTCCTATTTACTCCTTTTTAATCCACTACTCGACTTCCCCATATAATTTGTACTATTTTGCGTCACACCACACCTGATTTGATAATATATAATCCACCTTTGTGAGGTGGGTAATGTGTTTTGGTGCAGGGAATACATGAAGCTTCAGGATTTGTGTAGGTTTCCCTATTAAATGTTTAACATACAAATTTATACAATCATTTAATATGTTAAATGTATTACTTATATATAAAATAATGAATATGTACATTTTTGTGTGATAGACTCACTAATATCAGATAAATTTAAACTTTGTTCACATCATAAGTGAAAATTTTAAAACCCTTAGTTGCAATATTTCAACATTTTCCCCCAAAATCCATCCCACAAAAAATGTAGATATAAAAACTTTATACTATTTCATGTTTTGTGGCTTCCAAAAAACAAAAAAATCAATCAAAATCAAAGCTTGCATATATGGGGGGTCAAAGTAGAAAGCCAGCAATTTTTTCAAAGATTATGCCCAGTTGATGAGATCTGATCAGCTCAACATTTTTATGATGTTGGCTGTAATGTAAGTGAGTCTGTTTAATCCTTTAAACAGACGCAAGTGAACACACAGCAACACTGAAAATAAACGCTAAAATATTGAAATACATCATACAAACTCAATTAGCTTGGGTGATGGTGGTCAGGCTGGACTGAGAGGCACTAGTTAACCCCACTAATTCAGACTGGAGCAGCTACATTCAGGTGAGCTTTTCTAAATGGCACCTCAGGACTACTTTGAATTTGTATAGGATCATTATATATATATATATATATATATATATATATATATATATATATATATATATATATATATATTTATTAAATCAGGAAAACAGCTTTATGGAAAAGCTTGCTGGTAAGTGGTGCTGTAAAAAGAGTTTGTATTATTTTTTAAATGTTAATTCTACATATATTGCACCTACATGCTTTTGTAGCCCACATACAATTCTTTAGGCCCCTTCAATGGCAACAGTATGAACACCTATTCCTGTCATTTTTCCTGTTTCTGGTAGAAGTATGTAAAATTCTCAACATAGTATCTTGAAATAATGTTTTCCCAAAACATTAAATTACTGACTAATGACTTAGTGTAAGAATAGTGTAGCCTTTTTTTTTTTTTGAAAGTTTGACTTGGTGTCATAAAAATGACTTATTTTCTTAGTCTGACTTCCGTTAAAATATGACATTTTCTTTAAATATTGACTCACTATGTTGAAATAATGACTTAGTTTCTTGACATTTTTGCTTCCTACTGTCAAATTGAAATTGAAATTGAAATTGACTACTGTCAATTTTAATTTAAATGTGTTAAATTCCATTAAGCTGATTTTGAGAATTCTATTAAGTCAAAGCATTTTGAATTAATATTTTATAAAAAAAATAATTCAACATGAGCCAAATAAAGGTTAAGTAAGTCATTTTGAGATTCTAATTTAATATTTCCAAAAACACACGTCATTATTATGACATAGTAAGTCGTTCTTTTGAGAAAATATGTCATTATTTCAAGATACTATGCAAAATATAAGACAATTACTGATTTTGAGATACTAAATTAATATTTCCATGAAAATATGTCATAATTTTCAACATTGTAGGTCATTGTCTTAAAAATACTAAGTCAATATTTTGAGAAAGTAAGTTACTATATCGAGACTTTAAGTCAAATTTTTGATATACTAATGCCCGAAACAGAGGAGAGAACAAAAACAGCCCATTTTTCAACAACCCTTGTTTTGACATAGTAATTCTTTTGAGAAAATAAGTCACTATTTTAAGATACTATGCAAAATTTTAAGAAAATGACTGATTTTGAGATATTAAATTAACATTTCCAGAAAATATGTCATCATGTTCGACATTGTAGGTCATTGTCTTGAAATACTAAGTCAATATTTTGAGAAAGTAAGTCATTATGCCAAGACACTAAGTCAAATTTTTGAAATACTAATGCCCAAAACAGAAAAGGACAGAACAAAAACAGGCTATTTTTCAACAGCCCTTAACCTTAAAGAAAGAAGTGGCATGGATTTCCCCCTTTTTCTGCCATTTAAAAGACAAACAAATCTCGTCTGGGTCAAAACTCACCTTATCGGACCGTCTGCCTGCACCCATCCACGGAAATAACTGACGAAGAGGAAGACTCAAAAGTTCACCGCTGCTAATTGAGCTCGTTTTATATCGGTAAACAGAGCACGTGTGCACACGCCCAAATGCGTCATCTCAAATAACAAAAATCTCCCTGTTTTGTCACTTTACCAGAGGGAGATCGCTCAGAGTCAAAGCAGCTGCCACCTGCATTAGTCCTGTAATAATCTAGGCCTAATTGGCAACCTGTTACTCCTAAATTAGTATAGGCACCCTAGTGAATAGCCAAGTCGGCCTGTGGATTATTTTGGCAGCGGAGGAAGATTTTTGAGGTGGTGAATCAGACTTTTGCCACAGTAGATTACCGTGCGCATGAGAAACGGCTGTAAAATTGATTTATCAGAGCTGCCTCAGGCCTCAGCCTCATTATCTCTGCTTGTATGAGCTCCATTTCAAGTGGGGCTCAGATTTATTAAGGGAAGTCACTCTTGCGCCAAAACAAACTCCTCAAGCATGAGCGCCCCAGAACAATACAGGTGCACTGATGTCTCTCTCTCTCTCTCTCTCTCTCTCTCTCTCTCTCTCTTGCTCTTTCGCTCGCTCGCTCTTTTATTGAGTGCTTTGGTTGATGTGAAGTGCTTGCTGCTCGGCGTTGTGAGTGTACGGGGAGAGGAGCACTGGAGGGGTTGTGGAGAGCCAGACACTTCCCAAACATCAGGTGCTAGGAAGGATGCTGTTGCTATGGCAACCAGAGGAACTACTGGGCTCTTTTGGCAATTAGCAGTTCTGTAAGATGAGCCTGGCTTGTTTGGGGTGGTGTGGGTGTGAGATTTACCATGTGAGGTCTCCGGCAAGGTGAAGGCAAATGGGCTTTTGTAACTTGGCTTCAGTAAAGTGAGGCTTGGACTACATTTATGGCTAAATGCGGGATTGGCTGTTTGCAAAGTGAGGTGCCTTAGAACTCCAGCAGGGCAACAAATCCTACAAGTAGCTGAATATCTGTGCTTTTGGCTCAGATTAGTTTAATAGAATGCAATTCAATTGATCTTTATTATCAGTATACTTATGCACAAATGTACTGTGGCTTTTAGGTAGGTAAGCCCATTCTAATTCAGGCTAGGATGATTGGTGGCAACCAGAGTTGGACAAAATACTCTGAAAAAGTAGCCATGGCTGAATACTGAATACTGAGGACACTATCCTAAATCTATTTAGTAAAATATCCCATTACAATACATAAAAAAGTAACAAAGATCAATGTTTTAGAGTATTTCTATTGGTCCGTTCATCACTGACTTATTGCACAATGTAAAAGACAGGTGCTGCACTCAAATGATGTAGAAAAAAAATGGAGAGAAGTTTTATTGGACAGTGATATGTATTGGATGCTGATATGCTGGTCAACCAGCATGACCATGCTAGATGATGAGCTACGTCAGTACCAGATCAGTATAAACTAGCTTAGACCAGCATGGAATTCATGTGCCGTGCTTCCTTTTCAGCAGGGCAGCCAGCTACTTACCTAGTTATAGAATGAAGTGTGTAACACTTACCTAGTTAGCTATTTGCCTAGAACTAAGTACATAGTTATCAACTGATCTAGTTACCAAGCTGTGTACCTAGTACCTTGTTTGCAAGATAAGAACATAATACTTACCTAGTTAGTAAGTTAAGTGCCTAGTACTTACTTATTTCCTAGTTAGCCTAGTTAATTAAGTACATAATACTTACCTTACATGCCTGGTTATAGAACTATTAATAGCGAGCAAAGTTTCTAGTACTTACTTAGCTACTAACCTAGTTACCAAGCAAAGTATCTAATACTTACCTAGTTAACTACTTGCCTAGTTAGTGAGCTAGGTACCTAATACTTACTTAGCTACTTACCTAGTTAGCAAGCTAAGTATGTAATACTTACCTAGTTAGCTATTTGCCTGGTTAGTGAGCTAAGTACCTAGACTTACTTAGCTACTTGCCTAGTTAGTACGCTAAGTAAATAATACTTACCTAGTTAGCTACTTGCCTAGTTATAGAACTAAGTACTTACCTAGTTAGCTACTTACCTAGTTAGTACGCTAAGGAAATAATACTTATCTAGTTAGCTACTTGCCTAGTTAGTGTGATAAGTACCGAGTACCTAGTTAGCTACTTACTTAGTTAGCAAGCTAAGTATGTAATATTTAACTAATTAGCTATTTGCCCATTTAGTGAGCTAAGTACTTAGTACTTACTTAGCTACTTACCTAGTTTGCAAGCTAAGTACTTACCTATTTACTTAGAGAGCTTTGTACAAAGTAGAGAAGTACTAAAGAAAACAAGGTTCAGTACTGTGAAAGTTTCTATTCTATTCTATTCTATTCTATTCTATTTACCTAGACACATCTAATGCTTTAAAAGGTAGAACTCTGGTTACTTAGCCAATATTAACTGTGCTATTCTGTCAGTTGATATATATTATGTCTTTTCCTAGCTGGTCCCATCAACCAATAACCAGGCCTAAAATGAAATTCTGCCTACACCACTACGTTGACCTCTCAGAATTGGATCATCTACAGGCCTGTAAAACATCCACAGTTGTTAGGCCTGTAAATTCTTGTGAGTTTTTAAATGAATAGGGCTTGAAGCGTTTTCAAATCTTTTCAAATGGCGTCACTGTAAAAGTGTTTGCTGGCCCAGAAACATGGGATTAAAAATCATTTGAAACCGCAGATATTTGGAATGAAAAAATGACATATTCTACTTTCTGAGCTTAAATTATTTATCCCACAAAGCTCCTTTTTACAAAGGCTTAGAATAACAATGTGCTTATTCATGGAAATTTCAGTTATTGTAGAAAAACACTTATTTGTTTACCTAAAACTTGGGTCAAAGTGTTTTTATCTGCCAGCAACAGACATATGGCACTCATAAGCAGTCCTGTCTCTCATGCATTCCCAGCCTTACTGTCCTTTTCCCTGTAAACACACTCTGACATTTGGATGTTCAACCACTCTCCAGGTGTAGAGTCACATTTAACCACTCAGACAATTACCTGCTAATACCACACGACCTAAAAGCCCACCAATCTCTCCAACACATAGGAACAGAGTGGTGCAAAGCCACTTAGCCAAGTGCAGCTTAAAGGAACATCTGGTATGGCTTACAGGCCCATAGATCTTAATGAATACTCACGCTCTGGTTTAGAATGAGTGTTGTGTGAGTGCTGACTAGTTTGCCATCAGCCCTGCAAGTTAAATGGCCATTGTATTTGCGTAATGTTGCCCACAAATATCTGAGGAACGCGCTGTGCTGACCCTGAGGCATGACATGTTCTCTCCTCATGTACAGAGCATCAAGCGAGATGAAATATAGTGTTCATCTCTTATAGGTGGGAGTTGTAAGTGCTGCAGGTTTGGAACTGTGGAGAATGCCCTCCGGTATAAATTCCATAACGTTTTTAACGTCTACACACTAATCTAGGTCAGCAGTCACTGAATGGTTGATTTAAGAGGGACAGAGGCTCCTCAGCTAGGAAATATTGCTATGTTTTGTTATCAGGCTTTGCCTGCAATCCCTTACAGAACCACAAGAAAGCGCACTTTTGCACTGGGATTGTGCTTCTGGGGGTTACATGGCACATTTGTGGAAAGTTTATAATGAGAGCTAATAAAACACATCTTATCATGGTTTTTGCCATGCCTGCTGTATTTATCATTGCAAAACACGCAAGCTGGACGTTTGTCTTTTTTGACCCCTTAAATGTCCAGTGCCGACTGGCAGGACCAAAGTTTTATTACACACTTCTATATCCTATAGAATAGCTCACTGAGTTTGAATGAAAGTGCCTGTGGTTAAATAATAAGCCTTAGTATGAAATGAGACTGTAATGAGATTTCAAGGTGTTAGCTGAGCATTATCTTTTTTCAGTGTGTGAATCATCACTGGTGTTATTTATCTTTAGCTGGTGAAATAAAACTTTATATGTATATGCTATGATATTGGTTATGATCAGGAGGTGCTGCTTTTGTGAACTGTTCCTTCAGTATTCAGTATGCTATTCAATATGAATATGAAATATTGTGACATATATAGCGCTGCCCTTTATTTCTTTAACACCCAAAGCTACTTTTCCACTTCAGTATCCACGGTTTAATATCCATTTAAAACAGCCATTTTGTACATTACACATCTTTTATGCCCTTATTTTACTCATTGTCTTTTATTCTTAGCTTTTTAAGTTAAAATTTCCATTGCATTTTATTTTATTGTCTTTAATTATCATCTTTTATTTTTAGATACTTTATACCTTCTTTTAATTAACCACTGCACTTTATCTTAGCACCACTTTATTTTATTTTAACCTCCCATTTTATTTTGTTTGCTAGTTCATTATCCTTTTCATCATTTTTGACATCTAAATGTTCCACCTAAGCTTTTTCAACTCTTTGGAGTTTTTTAAAAGTTTGCTAGCATGGGTATTCAGTCTTCGACGTTGGTTGTGCTTTCTGCTTCTTACAATTCAAATAATTCCAATTACAACTTTAGCCTCTTTAAAACCTTGCTTCCCATTTCAGATGTCCGGTTTAGATATTTTAGTGCAAATATTTTTCTTTATTTTCTGTTTTCTTTTCTCAGTGAGGTTCTTCTTGACAGCTACACATCCTTTTGGACCCATAGCGCTGAGTCGTCTTCTCACAGTGGAAGGATGGACAGAAACACCTGTGGATGTTTTCAGATCTGAAGCAGCTTGATTTTCTCCTCTCTCTCAAAGATGGAAGTGCTGATTATCTGATGGGGACAATTTCAGTGGTCTACCAGGTCTTCCAGGTGGTTGTTAGGAGTCCTATTTTCTCTGTAGCTTTTAATCATTTTTTGAAATCCAGTTTTTGAAGCCCCTGTTTTTTCACTTACTTTCATTTTTCTCATATTTTCTGTTTACTTCTCAAAATATCACCTGAAACTTGTACTTAATGGTTGTTTTGGCCTTCAGTTCAGCCCCTGATGGCTTAACCAACAGGGAAGCTCACTTGGCCGTGTGTAACTAGACACCAA